AATAGCCTTCCCCAATATCCCTTTGTCAGTCCCCACTAAGTCCCTTTCTGCCCCTGGCCGTGTTTGCCAACACTACCACTGGATCGAGACCCACAGGCCCGACCACTAAGTCCCACAGTCCTCTGGGACTTCCTCACCACACGACTGTGTCCTTGGTCACTACCCCAAAGGACTGCTCCTCTTCCTTTCCACAGTCTAGGCCTTTGGGACAACATTTCGGAACACCGTGGCCTTACGCGAGCCACCTGGGTACTCTCCTCGCCTTCTGCCCTTGGGTGCTCTAGCCATGGGCTTAGAGCGGGTTCCGTTGAGCCACACCAGGTATCCAAGTAGGTAGTGCCACCCACACTTGGACTGGGAGCATCGGCCAGTCGATCTCCCGGGGGAACTAGAGCTGGCTCTTGAACACTTCACCAAGCCACCCCGCTTGTCGGTCTGTGTTCACTCTAGTCTTGGACTTCCCAGTGGGCAGCTCATCACCCAACACTGGGTCTGGCCTTCCTGGGCCAAACTGGCCTTTCCTGGCCAAACTGGCTCCACTGCAGTCCTTCCCCTACTATACTTTTGGAGCTCACCAAACCCCCCAGGGTCTGGGAGACGAACGCTTTGGGCTTTCACCCTCTCAGGCTCCGGACTCGGACTCGGACTCGGACTCGGACTCGGACTCGGACTCGGACTCGGACTCGGATTCGGACTCGGACTCGGGCTCGGGCTCGGTCTCGGCCTCGGCCTCGGTCTCGGTCTCGGTCCCGATCTCAGTCTCGGTCTCGGTCTCGGTCCCGGTCTCGGTCTTGACTTCGGACTCCATCTTGGACTCCATCTCGGGTCCATCTCAGACTCCATCTCGGACTCCATTTCGGGTCCATCTCGGGTCCACCTCAGACTCCATCTCGGACTCCATCTCGGACTCCATCTCGGGTCCATCTCAGACTCCACTTCGGACTCCAGCTCGGGTCCATCTCGGGTCCACCTCGGACTCCATCTCGGACTCCACTTTGGACTCCAACTCGGGTCCATCTCGGGTCCACCTCGGACTCCATCTCGGACTCCACTTCGGACTCCAACTCGGGTCCATCTCGGGTCCACCTCGGACTCCACTTCGGACTCCATCTCGGACACTCCCACGTGTCATGTGTTGGTCCTTTTGGGTCCCTTTTTGGAGCCTTGCCTTTTGCTCGCTTTGTGCTCGTTCCTCGAGCACTTCGTTGGGAGTTCCACTCCCGCTCTTGACTTTTCAAGTTGGAGCTTTTGGTCCAAACGTGTTGCGCTCGTTTGGCTCTCGCTTTGGCCACTACCATGTGGCGCCCTTCCGGCTCCACTTTGGGGCCTAGGGATTTTGTGTCTCACAGCACGCTCGGCTAGGGCATGCCAATTCTCACGACATCCAGCTACTTGCTAGCCACAAGCTTGCTGATGATTTTACCCTCACCGGTGCCAGCCAACTGGGAGTATGTGAGACGTGCCAACTGGGGAAGCAGCCAAGACTACCCTTTCCATGCAGAAGTCCAGAAGATGGCGCCTCAGGATTTCTTCAGCTGGTACACACGGATGTGTGCCATGTGCCAGAAGCAACTCTCAGTCACAAGCGGTACTTCGTTTCGTTCATTGACGACTACTCACGCTATGCGGTGGCTGTTCGCATGGCACACAAGGGAGAGGTCTACCATCACTTCCAGGTCTACAAAAGCTGGGCAGAAAATGCCACTGGCTGTACCATCCGGACACTACGTTCAGATGGCGGCGGTGAGTATATGAGCAAGGAGTTTCTGGCATTTCTTGCTCAGGCTGGCATCCACCACGAGTACACCGCAGCCCACACCTCGCAGCAGAATGGGGTCGCCGAGCGCCTGAACAGGACACTTATGGACTGTGTACGCTGCCTTCTCCAGCACGCTGGCATGCCCAAGGTGTTTTGGGGAGAGGCACTCAACACAGCAGTGTATCTCCGGAACCGGCTGCCAACACGTTCCACAGGACAGGTGCCGTTTCAAGTATGGACTGGGAAGCGCCCCAAGTTAGGGCACTTGAGGGTGTTTGGTTGCATAGCCTACGCCCACATTCCCAATGTTCAGCGGCGGAAGCTGGATCCCAAGAGCGAGAAATGCATCTTCATGGGTTATCACACCCAGGTAAAAGCCTATCGACTCTATAACTGCCAGCGCAGGAAACTGGTGGTGAGCCGAGATGTGGTGTTTGATGAAGCTCGTCTTTATCGAGATACCCTGAGACTCCCTCCTGTTTCTCCACCATCTCTGGTGGATCTTTCTGAGATTTTGGACGACGTTCCACATCTCCACCCAGCACCAGACAATCCAGCCGCTGCAGAGCCAGGAGGAGTTGCTGAAGGAGCGCCCGAAGGAGGCGGTCTGGCAGGAGGAGCTGATCACGGTACTTCTCTTCCTTCGACACCTCCTCTGACGACTCCACAGGCCACAGCGGCTGCATCCTCAAGCACCAATGAACAGCCAGATCTTTCCACGCTTGTGGCTGACCTGTTCGTTGGCGACGAGTTATATCAAGATGCCACCACTCCTCCCAGCATTCCCAAGCTACCACCTCCTCCAGCCGGCACAGCAGTGGTGACACGCTTGGGTCGTGTCGTGAAACCATCTCTTAAAGCCAAGGAGGCGATGCCTATAGGAAAGCGTGCCTACTTCTGGGCTCTGTCGGCTCCACCTGCCTCTCTCGGTCCCCAAGCGGCTCTACATGGACCAGAAGCTGAACACTGGCAGGCAGCTATGCAGGAGGAGTATGATTCTCTCCAGAAAAACAACACTTGGTCGCTGGTTGAACTTCCAGCTCGCAGAAAGCTCGTCTCATCCAAGTGGTTGTTTAAGAAAAAGTACAACGCTGATGGAAGCATTGAGCGCTACAAGGCGAGATTTGTGGCACGCGGATTTTCTCAAGTTCATGGGCTGGACTACTCGGAGACTTACAGCCCGGTGGTGAAACTCACAACCATTCGTATGCTACTAATCTTAGCTGCAGAATTGGATCTCGAGCTCCATCAACTTGACGTTTGCACTGCGTTCCTTAACGGCGACATCGATGAAGAGGTGTATGTGGCTCAGCCTCCTGGTTTTATCCAGCCTGGAGAAGAACACCTCGTTTGCAAGCTTAACAAAGCTCTCTACGGACTCAAGCAGTCGCCACGCCAATGGTACACGAAAATAGATTCTTTTCTAATTTCCCTTGGTTTCGTGCGCAGTGCTGCTGATTGTAACCTCTACATATATTTTGACGCTGAGGGCTATTTGTTCCTTGCGCTATATGTGGACGATGCTATTCTCGTGGCAAATCAGCTACGTTTGATCCACAAATTTAAAACGTACCTTGGCGCTAAATTTGCCATGAAAGACCTCGGTGAGTTGCATTTCTGCCTCGGTATCCAGGTGACGCGCAACAGGGAACGAGGCACTCTGGAGCTAAGCCAGGCAAAATATGTTTCCGACGTGCTCCAGAGGTATGGCCTTGCTCATGTTAATCCGGTTGCTACTCCCATGGAAACAGGCACGAAATTATCTGCTGAGAGTGGAGAGTACCTTGATCAATCTCCCGAGGAGGAGAAAGCATCTAGAGCAGTCTATCGCTCTATGGTCGGCAGCCTGATCTACCTGGTAATCTCCACTCGGCCTGACCTTGCGTATGCTGTGGGAACAGTGGCGAAGTACCTGGACCGTCCCTCCACAGCACACTGGCAGGCTTTGAAACGTATTATGAGGTACGTGGCAGGGACTAACCAGCTAACTTTAAAGTACTCCAGAGGCGAGAGCGGCAACAAGCTGGCTGGTTACTCTGATGCTGATTGGGCCGGGGATCCAGACAACAGGAAGTCAACCACAGGCTACGTTTTCCTGCTAAATGGAAATGTCGCAAGCTGGTGCAGCAAACGACAGGCTATTACAGCAATGTCGAGTACCGAGGCTGAGTACATAGCTGCAGCAGCTGCAACCAAGGAAGCAGCGTGGCTGAAGGGACTTCTCCAGGATCTACAAATCAACACGGGCGTGGTCAAGCTATTGTGTGACAACCAGTCTGCAATAGCTTTGACCAAGAACTCCAGGTTCCACTCTCGTACTAAACACATTGAGCTGCGCTTCCATTTTATACGAGAGCAGATCCAGAGAGGAATGATCGAGCTGGAGTTCTGCCCGACAAACTCCATGCTAGCGGACGTGCTAACAAAACCACTTCCTCGTGTTAAACATGAAGTCTTCACGAAGGCTCTTGGGCTGACTTTAGACGTTGGCCTTGAGGAGGAGTGTGGGAGTGAACAAGACCACGTCAGCACACAGCCACGTGAGCGATCCAGACGCCGCCACGGATCGTCACGATAAACCCATACATTTAACCATGTATCAACCGTCATAATAATAACACAACACCGTTTCATAATACCACAAGGATCACAAAGCCTGCACTATGAAACTTCTGATCAATCGCTATCTATTCGGAGTGAAAAAAGAGCACCACATAGATGAGCTATGAGAAAAGCTCATAGGTGTGAGCTTTTCTCTTTTTCTTTTCCTTACTTTTTTCTAACCGACAAGGACTCAGGTAAAGCTTTCAGGCACGTCTTTACTTTTCCTGTTCGCCTTCGCTTGTTCGGTTCTTAAAACTTGCTTCTCTTTTCAGAGTCCGGCAGTTACTTCAAGACCGATGAATCAATCCTCGTGACGATCGTGCTTCTGGAGAAGGCCCTCCTAGATCTCGGTCATGAGAATTACGACCGATTCGAGGTTCACTGTAACTACAGGTGAGTGTAAGGTTTCATGTATATGTTTCAGGCCAAGTTTTCTCCAATCTTTGTATTTTCGTTTGTTGGTTTTCCAGATTGTCAGTGTACGTTCTCAGATCTTCGTTGGCTCGCAAAGAGGGGGATAATGCGAAGGTAATGCCAAGCCCAATATTGTTTTATACGTATTGTACGACTGCCGACTACTTTTTCATATACAGTGCAGGGTCAAAGGCGCGTTGATCCATTTCACGCAGTCAATCTAGCCAGCGCGCTCATCCATTTTCAAGGCGGAGAAGAGGAGGAAGAGCACATCGATTGGTTCTGATGATAGTATGGATTCGGCGCGCAGCAAACAAGGTACCACTCTCCTGTTCCTTGCAGCGCCATTGGTGCTGTTAGCATTTGTAGCAGTGCCGTCCCTGGCCTTCGATGTGCCCACTGGCACTGGCTATATTTTCTTCAATGATCCGGCTCGAGCTACCCAAAACTCTGAGAACCAGGACGATTATGGCGCTACCACGAGAATGACAGGTTTCTTTAGTGGCGTCTACAACCTTGGCTTTGTCAACTCTACTCCAGATCGCTACACACTCGCAGTGCTCATGAACGTCGACTCGGGTTTTCCAACCACGCAGAGGATCATCTGGGAGGCAAACCGGGAAGATCCAGTCGGACTCAACGCCACGCTCTCTCTCGCCTCGGACGGTGATCTCGTGCTGAGAGATCGCGACGGGAGGCTGGTGTGGTCGACTGGAACAGCAAACAGGGGAGCTACCCGGGTGGAAGTTGTGCGAGAGACTGGGAACTTGGTGGTGTTTCGCAACAACACCATCTTGTGGCAAAGCTTCGATCGTCCCACAGATACTTTGATGGCTGGCCAAGTCCTTCGACCGGGAATGAGGCTCCAGAGCCGGAGGAGCAGGACCGATCCCTCTCCAGGATTCTACTCTCTAGTTATGGAACCCGGTGGTCTGGTTCTCTACTCCAACTTCTCGGGGACTCGTCAAGAGCCTTACTGGATTCGAGGATACCATGGAGTTGACACTCTGACAGCTGCTCGACAGGCTTGTGACTCGCTCGCAGCGGCGGTTCTCAATGGAGATGGTTTGAATCTAGTGCTCAACATGATGCTTAGCAACGACACGGCTCCGTCCGGAACGAGGTCTCAAGCTCTGTGTGGCTTGAATGCAACGGGAGGTCTTCTGCTCACGAGATCATCGGCAAACACTCCACGTAACCAGTCGTTCATCCGGCTTGAGTTTGACGGGGATCTTCACGCGTATACTCTGGAGAGTTTGCTCGTATGGTCGGATAGTTACAATCTTCTCGCGAGGAATGACTCGTGCTTGCTGCCTCAGCGGTGCCAGCCTTTTGGAATTTGCTCGAGCAGCGCTTGTGTCGGGTGCTTGAACTCGGACGGAACCACGGCTGGCTGGACAGACACTTGCTCCGCTCCGGCAGTGGAGTCTTGCAGCGACATCGAATCTCTCGAGTTCGTTCCAGTTCCTGGAGTGGAACACTTCTCCAGCAAGTATGTAAATGGTTCGCAAGTCACCATCGACGAGTGCCGCGGCAGGTGCTTGAGGAACTGCTCGTGCTCGGCATTTTTCTTCTGGGAAGAATCCAACTCGTGCTTCACGGTCGACAATACGGGCACCCTCCAGCGAGTTTCCACTCAATCTCACGTTGGTTATATCAAGGCGACGAGAATAGCAGGGACAACAAGCTCCAAGCTCTCGGCTGGAGTCATTGCCGGGATCGTCGTCTCGGTTCTTGGAACCCTCTTGCTCGTCGTCCTGGTGTTTCTCTGGATCAGGAGACGGCGGACGAGCATTAAAGCAGCCGTGGACTACGACAGTGACAACTTCCTCGAGTCGATCGAGAACTTGAGGCCGATGCGTTTCTCCCTCTCGGCTCTCGGGCGGATCACCGGCAACTTTAGCAAGCTCCTCGGCACTGGAGGCTTTGGTGGTGTGTACGAGGGAACTCTTCCAGACGGTAGAACGGTGGCAGTGAAGAAGCTCGAAGGCACGGGACAGGGAAAGAAGGAATTCTACGCAGAGGTGGCAGTGCTGGGAAGTCTCCATCACTGGAACCTGGTAAAGCTGCTCGGGTTTTGCTCGGAGGGATCAAACAGGCTCCTCGTCTACGAGCACATGACGAATGGATCGCTGGACAAGTGGATTTACCAGGACTCCGAGAAGAACTTGATGGTGCTAGGCTGGAAGCAACGCATAGAGATCGTGCTGGGGATGGCGAGAGGCCTTGCGTACCTTCACGAAGAATGCATGCAAAGGATCATCCATCTCGACATCAAGCCGCAGAACATACTCCTGGACAAGTCTTTCGTGGCTAAAGTCGCGGACTTTGGACTCTCCAGGCTCATGTCTCGCGACCAAAGCTACGTGATGACGACGATGCGAGGGACTCCAGGATACCTGGCTCCGGAGTGGCTGCTCGAGGCTTCCATCACCGAGAAGAGCGACGTTTACAGCTTTGGAGTGGTGCTGCTGGAGGTGATCAGCGGGCGGAAGTGCTTCTCGCGGGTCTCGGAGACGGAGAAGTTTTATCTACCAAGCTTTTGCTTGGAGCTGGTCCAGCAAGGCAGGGACATGGACGTGGTCGATCCCAGGATCTCTAGCCAGGCGGACGAGGGGGAAGTCGTGAGAGCTATCAGGATCGCTTTCCTGTGCCTGCAAGAGAATGCGAGCGCGAGGCCGTCCATGGGCAGCGTTGTCCAAATGCTCGAAGGCTCCTCGACCGTGGACAGCAAAGTCCCCGTCGAAGGCCTGTTCTTCGCGTCCAAAGGGGAGCTTCGCCTCGACCTCAACAGTGGCTCCTCCTCCTCTACCGCTACTTCCAAGAATTTCTTTTTGGACACCGACACTGTGTCTGCGAGATGAGATTTGTTGTCAATTCTTTAATGAAGTTTCAAACCTTTGTGATGACGATGCTTAGAATTATTGGCAACTTCAAATGGCGACCCAAGCTTGATGAGTCAACTTAGAAACACTGGAAGCCCACACAGAAGGAAGCCAACGAGGAGCGGCCAAGCAACTGCAAACAAAATTTGACCTGATCAAGACGGCCAAGGAAAAAAAGAAGTTCAAGTAATCCATGCTCCACTTAACAAGCAAACTAATCTCAGCTGCTCTCGATTGAGTTGACTGTTTAAAAAAGCTAAACTCAGGACATATACAAAGGCAAAAGTCCAATGTGGTCAACGGGCCTTGGAAGATTCCTTGGCGCACAGGCTCTGGGCCAGCAGCACAAAAGCCCCGGAGCTGCCGGGCGTGGCAACCGACAGGCCATCCGCGGCCCTCTTGGCGTGCTCCTCGTTGTCATGGAGCTTACACCCGTTGAGCAGCGTTGACCAGCACACGAGGTCAGCGCCGCCGGGCATCCTCCGCACCAGCTCCTCCGCCTCCGCCAACCTCCCCGTCCTGGCCAGCAAGTCCACCATGCACCGGTAGTGCTCCACCATCGGCCTCGTGTCAAAGTCCGCCACCATCGCCAAGAACACCTCGCGGCCTTGCTCGAGCTTCCCGGCGTGGCTGCAAGCGAAGAGCAGGCTTATGAAGGTGACATCGTCGGGATCCATCCCCTCCTGGCACATCATCCTCTGGATCGCGAACGCCTCGTCGATGGATTGGTGCTCGGCAAACGCAGCCAAGATGGACGTCCACGAGACCACGCTTCGATCAGTCATGGCCGCGAACACCTCCCAGGCCTCGCTTACACTGCCGCTCTTGCCATACATGCTGATCACAGCGTTGGCGACCGCGCCGTCGGGCTTGATCCCGCTCTGGAGGAGCTGCTGGTGGATCCGCCGCCCCTCCTTCAGCGATCCGGCTCCGTCCGCGCAGGCGTCAAGCGCGCTGATGATCGTCACCGGGTGTGACTGCAGCTCGAATCCTTCCATGCGGTGGAAGAGCTCGAGCGCTTGCGCGGAGTGGCCATTGCGCGCGTAGGCCGAGAGCATCGACGTCCAGGTGACGACGCTCTTGCGCGGCATCCTCTCGAAGATCTCGCGCGCGAGCTCCCAGTCGCCAACCTTGGCGTAGAAGTTGATGAGCGCGTTGCCGAGAGTGATGGCGCCGGTACCATCCCGATCGATGCCCTCTTCTCGTGATCGATCGAAGAGCTCGCGGACGATCCTGGCAGTGGCAGCGTCGCCCAGCTGCGTGCATGCGTCTAGCACGCTGATGAGCGTCACGTTGTTGGGTCTCACGTCCATGGATCGAAAGAGCTCCAGCGCGCGCCGGGGCTGGCCGATCTGCGCGTAGGCCGCGATCATCCCCGACCAGGTGAAGCAGTTCCTCCGCTCCATCAAGTCGAAGAGCGCTTGCGCGTCGCGGATCATCCCCCACTTGCCATACATGTTGACGAGCGCACTGCCGACGATCACGTCGCCAGGAAGGAGACCGCGCTGCGCAGCGCGAGCGTGGATCTGCCGCGCCAGGAGCTCGCGGCTTGCGGAGAGCTTCTCCTTCGCGCAGGCATCGATGACGCTAACAAAGGTGATGGCGGTGAAGTCCATCCCCTCGTGATCCATACGCCGGAAGAGATCGATCGCTTGGGATCCCCGCTGGTTCTGCGCGTAGGCTGAGATCATCGCGTTCCAGCAGACGTTTGATCGGTGGCGGAGCTTGTCGAAGACAATCCTGGCCTCTTCCGGGCACGCGCACTTCCCATACATGTTGACGAGCGCGATCCCCACGCTTCCAGCGCCGCCATAGCTCTCAAACACCGTCCCTCGCACGCTCTCGTGGATCTTCCTCCCGTCGGCGATGGCGCCCAGCTTGGCGCACAGCCCCAGCGCCGCACAGTAGCTCACGCTCGATCGACTCAGCCCCGGGTCCATCTTCCAGTAGAGATCCAGCGCCTCGCGCGGATGCCCATTCTGGGCAAATGCTGCAATCATGATGTTCCACGAGTGGGCATTGCGAGGATCGATCGAGTGGAAGGCCTGGAGTGCGTCGTGGATCCTACCGCAGCTGCCATACATGAGCACGACGAGATTCACGAGGAAAGTGTTGCCACTCTCGCGGCTCGCGACGATTTGCCGGTGGAGGCGCTTGCCCTCCTCGAGAGCCCTGTGGAGAGCGCACCTTCTCAGCAGCACTCCACACGCCTCCACATCCAAAGACGATGGGTTTGATCGATCTTCCAGCATCCGGACGTCGCATCGCAAGGAATCGAGGCCGCCGGCGCTGCCGATGGTGGTCGAGCTGCAAGAATGCTGATCCCGGAGCTTGCGAGGCTTGTCTCGCGCGGCAAATTTGGCCGAGTGCTCCATCGCGTCCTCCGATTTGGGAATCTCCAGCTTCTGCCGGCACACTGTCATGAGTAGCGATCTCGATTGCTCTGGAGCTCCTGATCTGGGCATGGCCCGGACCTGGGAAGTCCTCTCCACTCCAAAGTAGTCGCTCTGGAGGATCATCAAAGACACAAAAAAGGATAGTCAGCTGAACATGACAGTTGAGATTTAGGGTTCTTCCGTAAATCTCGGAAGAATTTTACGTTTCGTCCTCAATGAGACGTTTTTCTTCTTCTCTCCTACCAGCCTCGTGACGCCTCGTACCACAGCTCCAAACGCATCGACAAATTCTGTTCTTCCCTGGAAGCGCGGGTCGGCATAGCTCAACTCCGGCACCATCTCCACAATCTTCTCTTGCATGCGCTGGATCTCCTCCACTTCGATCGACAAAAGCCTTGTTTCGATCACTCCATCCATCACCAGCTCGGACTCCGGTATCAAGACCGAATAGCTGCTGCTGTCCGCCGGGAGGTTCCACGCATACTGGCTGTAAGCCGAGTACTCGCTGAAGAACACCGGGATGCATCCGGCAAGCAGCGAATCGAAAGTGGAACGCCGAGTGAAAGAGTCTCCCCGAGGCTGGAGGCAAAACGTCGAGCTCAAGAACAGCTCCATCACCCTGTGAGGATCGTGACACTCTCCACCGCTCTCTCCTTGGCAATCCAGCATCCGGCAGTGCTGCGATGACTTCCGGCACTGATCAAAAACCCTGTCCCGGACCAAGTTCTTGGCCTTCACGGCTCCCACAAACCCGATCAACCGCCTCCTCCTGCTTCTAAAAGAGTGCCTCAGCCTTTGCTGCCAGCTTTGGAGCTGAGACGCTGTCGATGGATGAAAGTACGTCGGATACGGGATCCCGTGCTCGTTGGGCAGCCAGGGACGAGCCTCGATCAGCAAAACCGACATGTTTCTCGTCCAAGGCAGCAGCAGGAGATTGTTTCCCCACGACTCCGGACTGCTCGAGCTCCGGATAAAGTCCCAAGTGATCCTGCCTGACACCATGAAATGATCCCTGCCACCGGAAGCTTTCCACTGTTCCTGTCTCTGTAGCCACTTCCCCAGTCTCTTCCCGGCCTCGTCTCTCACGCTCACATTCTTCTGCCCGACGTGCCTCGACATCTCGAATCCTGCGTAGAACGGAACGTAAATCGCCGTTGCTCGCTTCCAGTCACTGGTGAGGCACTCGTACCCTTTCATGCTCTCGTGAAAGATGAGCTCCGCCGAGAACTGGTTTGTCGCATACCACCCCGCTCGAGACGTGAGGTCCAGAGCGACATCGTTGAGAGGCTGCCCGAGTCCTGCATTTGCTATGTGGGGGCACATATTCGTCCAAACGCTGAGCCTGTCACACTGCTCCAGCAATCCCCGATTGAAGCTTGCAGGGAGCGTGTACATATAGACGTACCTTCCACGGCAGCGTGTTTTCCTCTTCCCTGCTCGCACCCCTCCTATTTGACGCTTATCTGCTGTCAAACGCCTCTCAAGAAGCCTCGAGCTCGGTGTTTCTCTGGTAGAAATGATGTATGACGCGGCGGCTGCAACAATCTCAGTCTCGGCAGCCTTGTCCAATGCGATCCAGTACTCAGAAACCAGCAGCAACACGAGGCACCATGTAGCCATCACCGTGACCACCATCCAGCAGCCACAACTGCAGCTCCAAAACCAAGAAGCCATCGTGCATCCTCGGTCGTTTCCCAGGGTGGACTTCCCGTTTTGCTGCTGCGCTGCACTGCACTAACAAAGGAAGGTTAAAAAGTCTCTAAAAGTCAGTATCTTCCAAGGAAAAAAGCATTCACCACATGCAAGCCTGTTGTCTGTCGCAAACGTCGCCACACAATTTCAAGCTGCCTTAACTCGTTCGGAGCAGTGCCAGTGTCACGTTTAAAGAAGAGAAGTAGCCGCTATGAATGGCGACAAGCCAGGCAAGGAATCTGGATTGAATGCCAGCAACCATGGATCTATAAGAAGAAAAACAAAAAAAGGGAATCATCAGATAGAGGAAGCGTTACTACTACTAGATACGAAACTTTCATTACCAGCATTTCAACCCAGTTGGTTCCCGTATTCAAAGTCTGTGCTCCTATCTCTCCCACTGAAAAAAGAGAAGAAAAAAGCCTGCATTGGAATTTATTTTGAAAGAACTTTTGAAGTAAATGACGGTAAGAACCTCTTGTAAAGTCGAGTTTCAAAAGAATCCACGCTCCATTTCTCACCTGAAACTCTGGAACTTTAAGCACGAAGAAATCACTTAAGCCTCCTTCCACATCCATAGCGAAACCTTTTCTCTACGAAATTTACAATCGTCGGCGTAGGAGCGGCGGGGCTTTGCCTGCCACCATTCACTGCTTCTTTCTTCCCGCCTGAGACTGCCAACACCGAATTGAATCCTCCGGACCATTAAGCTCGTCAGCCTCCGCCCCTTCAGCTCGTCGTCATCCTTGCCTTGCAAGAGAGCCGTTCGCATGTCAATAACAGCCTCCACCGCAACGTTGAAGGCGTCTTGCGTGGATCAGCTGGATCACCTCCTCTCTCATCCCGAGGACTTCATCGGCGGGGATCTGTCGGAGCACGCTCTCAATCCTCATCGATCTCGGAGATGAAAACCGAGTACTTGTGATGGTTCCGTGGGAGGTACTACACAAACTGCGAGTAAGCCGAGTCCGGGTGGAAGAAGACCGGCATGCACCCGGCGAGCATCGAGTCGACGCCGGGTGAAAGAATCTCCCTGCGGCTGTAGGCAGAAGACCGACTCCTCGAACAGCTTCATCACGCCACCGACTGCGGCGATTCCCGGCACTGGTCCATGATCCTCTCACGAATCGACGTTCTCAAGTGCCGCGAGCTAAAGGCTGCTGATCTTTAGCTTCAACAAAACTTGGGTACTCCAGCCGACTTAGCCACAAAAGTAGTTCCACTATGCTCAGTGGAGTCTATCAACGACTGGAACAAAGGGAGAGCAGATGTTGCAATAGCGTCGTCAAACTCATCTCGACCAGCCTTGAATTGAAGTACCTGTGTTGTCATCTCTGAAACGACTCCGAATTTTTGGTACAAGCGCTCAGGCTGCTGTTCAAATGTGTCTATCACCCTTTCGGCCTTCTGACCCACTAAAATATGTAGCTTGGAGTTCCATTCCGACATCAAATTGTAGAAGTCCGGTTTCACTGGAATTCGTCCTTTTAGGATGAACACGTCTCCTCCTTCCAATCATAGAATCATTCCGCTGCTGCGCTGCACTGCACTAACAAAGAAAGGTTAAAGTAGATAGCAGAAGTTTAAGCCAAGTCAAGTCAGGAGTACCTTCCAAGGAAAAAACTATTCACCACATGCAGGCATGTTGTCCGTCGCAAACGTCGCCACACAATTCCAGGCGAGGAACAGTGCCTTAACTCGTTCGGAGCAGTGCCAGTGTCACGTTTAAGGAAAAGAAGGAGCCGCCATGAATGGCGACCGAGGAATCTGGATTGAATGACAGCAACCATGGATCTATAAGAAGAAAAGCAAGAAAAAGAGGAATCATCAGACAGAGGAAGCGTTACTACTACTAGATACGAAACTTTCATTACCAGCATTCAACCGGGTTGGTTCCCGTATTCAAAGTCGGTGCTTCTGTGTCTCCCACTGAAAAGGAAAAAGAGAAAAGCCTGCATGGGAATTCATTTAGTTGTTGAAGAACTTTCGAAGTAAATGAGAAACGAAAGGTAAGAACCTCTTGTAAAGCCGAGTTCTCAAAAGAATCCGCGCTCCATTTCTCTTATTGCACACCTGAAACTCTGGAACTTTTAAAACACTTGAAGCCTCCTTCCACATCCATATCGAAACATTCTCTCTACGAAATCTACAAATCGTCGACGTAGGAGCGGCGGGGCTTTGCCTGCCACCAATCTCTACTTCTTTCTTCCCGCCTGAGACTGCCAACGTCGGATTGATTCCTCTGAACCATCAAGCTCGTCAGTCTCCGCCCCTTCGGGCTTGTGGAGCTTCCTCAGCTCGTCGTCATCCTTGCCTTGCAAGAGAGCCGTTCGCAAGTTTGCGTTCTTGTCAATAACAGCCTCCACCGCAACGTCGAAGGCGTCCTGCATGGATTCCAGACGCTGCCGCGGATCCGCGTAGAGCAGCCTCGGGATCAGCTGGATCACCTCCTCTCTCATCCTGAGGACTTCATCGGCGGGGATCTGTCGGAGCACACTCTCGATGCTCACGTTTCCTCTGCGGATGTCGATCTCGGAGATGAAAACCGAGTACTTGCGGTGGTTCCGTGGGAGGTGCCACACAAACTGTGAGTAAGCCGAGTCCGGGTGGAAGAAGACCGGTATGCACCCGGCTAGCATCGAGTCGAAGATGGAACGCCGGGTGAACGAATCTCCCTGCGGCTGTAGGCAGAAGACCGACTCCTCGAACAGCTTCATCACGGCACTGGGAACGTGACACTTGCTCTCGCCGAAGTCACACTCGAGGAGCTTGCACTGCGGCGACTCCCGGCACTGGTCCATGATCCGCTCACGGATCGACTTTCTCAGCTGCTGCCTGGGTGCTCCCGCGAAGGAAAACAAAGCCGGCCGCTCCATCCCCCGCATTCTAACTTGCCAGTCCACGACATCCGAGTCCTGGGTCGGATGAAAGTAAGTTGGATACGGGATGGCGAAGTCGTTGAAGTGCCACGGACTGGCCTCGATCACCAGAGAAGTGATGTTCTTCACTTCGGGAATGATGAACAGCTTGTTCCCCCAGTCGTCCTCCTTCTCGGTCTTTCGTCTAAAGTCCCATGTTATCCTGCCCGCGACCATGAAGTGGTCGCGTCCACCCATCCTCCTCCACTCGGGCTGCCTCACGAGCCAGTCTACCATCCGCAGAGCTCCAGAATCCCTCGTCGAAACGTTGACACCCCACAAGTATCTCGAGATGTCGAGGCCGGCGTAGTATGGCACAAAGATGGCAGCAGCGATGGAGGAGTCGTTCGTAAGGCAATCGTACTGCTTCATCCGGTTGTGAAAGATCACCTCCACGGCAAACTGGTTCGTAGCGTACCACCCACGGTCGGAGAAAGCGTTGTCCTTGTCTTCCAGAGGAGGCCCAAGCCCGGCATTGCCTGTGAACTTACACATGTTGGTCCACAAGCTTAGATGCTGGCAGTCGTCCAGCATTCCCTCGTTGAGATCTCTGGGCAATCGATGCACGTAGACGTATCGCCCAGCGCATCGATCGTCTCTGGCTCCAAACATCTTGAGCGGCTTCCATAGATGCTCGTTGAGAGGCGTGAATTCGACCCTTCTCACTGGCGATGGCGAGAGCTTGCCAGGACTGGGGTAACTGCTCTTGAGAGGCTCCCGCCGCGAGCTAAAGAATGGAATGTGGATGGATCTGGAACTGGAAGCCCCATCTTCGCTGGGAGTGGCGATGGAGAGGAAGTTGAAGAAGAAGATCACCCACCAGAAGACCACGAAGCCGAGGATCAAGAGGCAGCGATTGGGCCTCCCCATGCCGGATTTCTCCATTCTCGCCTTGCTCCTAGCAGAGATTTGGGACGAAGCTCCCATCTTTCACGGAATCCCGCGGCTGGGATCGAAATGTGGCTGAAATATTTCCAGAGCGAGCGTTAGCGATCGAATCTTGACAAGAGACCGCAAGAAAATGCGGAGCGCCGAGCTCCAGATCACGAGATCAAGCAAAGATTTCGCAAGAAACATCGGGAGCTTACCGGATTGGAGCCGCATTGCATGCTCTAGCTGGATCGATCGCGTTAAGTGCCGAGGAAGCGAAGAGAAACCCTGCCGGCTTCTCGCTCTATTCACCATTTCTTTGACGTGCAAACAGGAAAGAGAGCCCTAAAATACTGAGATCCGACGGGCAACGTGGCTCGTCCGCTTCCCTCGATTATTCCATGCCATAAAGATTGAGGCGTTATATAGTTTTAAAAGGCCCTTCCCTCGTTACAATCTTTCAACGTTTCAAACCTTGTACAGTTCTTCCAAAGTTCTTAGCTTCCAATTCTTTGTTTCTCACTCCAAATTCGATCCTTCCATAGTTCCAGCCGAATTGGATCTTTTCCATAAACTTCCAGGCTTCAAGGATATCTTTCTTCCAGTCCACTGTCCTCGCAAATCCTGCCCGTTCTAAAACTCTCGAGCTTCTCCACTGTTTCCAAGATTTAAGGATATCTTTTCTTCCAGTCCAGTGTCCAAGCTCCAAATCCTGCCGGTTCTAAAACTTTCGAGCTTCTCCACTTTCTGCTACTCCTCCAACTTCCAACCTCGCGAAGCTCCTGTTTTGCTGATGCTCTTATCAAATCCAATCCTTCTTCCTTCCATCTAAACTCCGCTACTTCTCATCCTCCGGAGCTCTTGCTGTAGCTGCTCCTTCTCGGAGTCGGATCGCTCCAGGTGCTCGATCTTCTTGTTGAGAAACCATTCGTTCTGCCTGTGCTTGTTGATCCTTTCTTCGTGCTGCTCCTTCACCTGTTTGACGGCCTTCTGGAGCCTCACCTCCGACTTTACAACCTCCTGTTTCGCCATGGCCAGCTCCAGCGACAGCCTCTCCATCTGAGTACGGACGTCTTGCTCCCGCTTTCTCGTCTCGCTCAGCTTTGCTTCCAAGGCGGAAAAGTCGTTCTGGAGAGCGCAAAGCTTTGCCTGGAGGCTAAAGTACTTCTCCTCCTGTTTCCCAATCTTCTCGGCCTGCTGTATAATGGCCTCCTCGCCTTCTTTGACCTTCTTCCTCTTCGTTGCCACCATGTCTTCCAGGATGACGTTCTTCATCGCCATCTCGGAGGCTTGAGTCTGGCACGTAATGAGCTGCTGCTGGAGAATTAAGACCTCCGAGTTTAGCTCCCCAACTTTCTTTGCAAGCTGAGCGTTTCCTGTTTTCTGTGACAGCAACTCCTGCTGAAGCCGGCTTATTCTCTGCTCCTGGTTCTGCGTAAGAACTCGTAGTTGCTGCAAATCCTCCTCTAGAGAGTGTTTTTCTTTCGTTGACTCGAGAAGCTGGCACTCCGCCGACTCCAAGGCCTTCCGGACGGTTTCATTCTCATCTTTGGAGACACCAAGCTCCGCCTCCATTGTTGAAAGGTTCTGCATTTTCTCGTCCAGTGACTGGCTCAGCACCATGCACTTCGAGGCTGACTCGCATCGAAGAGCTCTTTCCGATTGCAGTTCTGCTTCAAGAACGGTGATTTTCGTTGCAAGCTGCTGAACCGATTCAACCTCTTTTCCCAGGTCCGTTTGGCATCTGACGAGTTCCTGAAGTGTGGATTCGTGCTCGTGACTTCGTTCGCTAATAGCTTGTTGCAGCCGGTTGAGTTCGGTCGCTAAAGAAGCTCGTGTAGAAGCCGCCTCTTCTTGTAGCAAACTCTTTTCTTCGCTGTGTTTCAGCAAGTCTCGAGTGTGCCGCTCGGTGGAAACTTGCAACTCCGTCTTGACTTGCTCAACCAGACTTTTCAGCTCCGTCACCTCCTGACACAGATCGTTCCTTTCAACTTGAAGCTGCATCTCTGAGGCCTGGATATCCTGAAGCTTCTTCTCAAACGCATTTATCTGACCTTCAAAACCATCGCTTGGATCATTAGACTGTTTGCTGTCACCGGTTGCGAGCTCAGCTTCTTGCGCTTTCTCTGCTATTATCGGCAGCGGCTCCTTGACAACAGAATCCTCCGCGAGGGTGTTTTTGGCAGCACTCTGTTCATGCTCGTCATGCAGCACAATAATCTCTTTCTCTTTCTCCTCGGCAGGAGCGACCACCCCATGAAACTCATCGTCAAGTACGCAGATTTCCTTAACTGTGGCCTCGGCCTCGCCTGGTTGCGTTGTCTGTTGCAACCTTTCGTACTCCTTTTCTTTCTCCTCGAACTTGCATGTGAGCTGTAGAAGTTCTTCCTTGAGGCTTGTAACTTCTCTGACGTACATGGAACATTTCTCACACTCTCGCTGATTAAGTTCCACCACCTTGAAAAAAAAAAACAAAAACAAATAGAATCAACATAGGTAGAAAAAAATGAATCAGGAATACCTGCAGCTTTGTCTCCTCGAGCTGTTGGCGAGATTCCTGAAAGAAAAAGTCTTGTTAAATGCAAAGAGCGGGAGCTTTTGTGTAAACACTAGCCTCAAGTTCTTTACGGAGCTCTTCGAGATCCTTTTCTGCTTGGCATTCAGCTTCCCGACGACGAGCCAGTGCTGCTACTGCCTCTTCTCTGGCTTGTCTAACCTGCGCTTTTATGATTCAATAACGAAGGAAATAAGCAACACATTACCTGAGACTCGAGCTCTTCAACTCTGTGAACAGACACTTGCTCAGTACGTGCACGGAGCTGTCGTTCCTCTTCGAGAATCTCTGTCAACTGATATCTCAACTCCGCCATTTCTTGAGCCATGTCTTCCGCTTCGTCCCTTGCTCTTGCTCTTTCTTCTAGAAGTTCTTTCTGTTCCAACCAAAGCGTTATAGAAACAAGAAGAAGAAGAAAAAAAAAAAAACTTTCGTTCTACCTTGAGTTGATCCATGGCATCCTCTAGATGACTTAAAGTTTTGTTCTTGGCGCTGAGCTCTTTCTTGAGCTGGGACTCTCTCGACTCAGCCTCGTTAAGCTTGCTTTGAAGGTTCCGGAGCTCGTCCTCGGCAGCCGAGAATTCCAGCGAATCCTCCCCAATTTCAAGCAATTCCTTCACGAAATCTTCAGAGCCACTCAGTGCAGCCCAGTCGATTTCCTCGTCCCCGAGAGTCATCTCATCCAGGAACGTGTGGCTGTAGCTGGATCGCAGGAAGGCTATATGAGACGATTAAATCTTACTCTCTACTTACTCTCTGCGAAGATCCGCCGCCATGAGGGTAAACTTCAACCCCAAGAATCACGAGAAACCCCAGCTCCTGTAGATCGCCATCGCCGGAGAAGCTCCCATACCTCGAACCGATAGATCGCCTCGGCAAGAGCAGCGCCGCCGTGAGCTGCGCGATCGCGGACCAAAATGGAGGAGTGGCTCTCTCTTTCTCTTCCCGCTTTGTTTTAAACGCAAGAATGTGTGGAGAGATTTTTGTGGCATGTGGACCAGAAAATCGAACTTGAGACCCAAAAAAATTCAAACAAAAAGAATGGTTTGAACCCGACGTGAATCGAACACGCAACCTTCTGATCTGGAGTCAGACGCGCTACCATTGCGCCACGGATCCACGTGTGATCATAGTCTCTGCTAGAACAATATGGCTTTTAAAAAGGGTTCTTTATAAGCGTAAAACCCTAGTTAGGGCTTTAGTATCATGGATCCAGCACAGGAGAATGCGCCTACTCCCGCGCCCGCGCCCGCGCCGGCTCCCAAGACGAATTGGGCGGATGAAGCAGACCTGGCGGATTTGGGAGCGCTAGGGATCTCTGATGGCGCCGAATCGAAAGCAGAGGAGGCCACGCCCGTGAAGCCGAAACCCGAGAAGCTCAATGACGAGGTGGAGACGAAGATCGAAAAGGTATGGCATTGGTGTCGGAGATGAGCGGCCGGTGAAATCCTGGTGTGTGGAAAACAGGAGCTCGTCGAGGGCAACAGCTTGTATACCTCGGCCAAGACGTTTGAGGAGCTTAAAATCTCCGAGCCGCTGCTGAGAGGGATCTACTCCGAGATGAAGTTTGAGAGGCCTAGCAAGATCCAGGCCGAGACGCTGCCGCTGATCATGAATCCCCCGCATCGCAATCTGGTGGCTCAAGCGCACAATGGCTCTGGAAAAACTACATGCTTTGTTCTGGGCATGCTAAGTCGCGTCAACACTTCTTTGCACGAACCGCAAGCTCTGTGCGTTTGTCCAACACGAGAGTTGGCACTCCAGGTTCGTAATTTCTTTGTTGTGCTCGGTGATATGTAAACGATCGATCCTCCTTTTTCTTTTCCTCGCAGAACCAAGCAGTGCTGGAAAGAATGGCACGCTTCACTCAAATCACATCGACCTGTATCATACCTCCTACGGAAAATATCAAGAGCTCACTCCGCGGACATATACACGACCAAGTTATCTTCGGAACTCCTGGGTCTTTGGAGAGGGCGATCCTCAACGACAGAAACTTGGACGTGCAACACTTGAATGTTTTGGTGTTTGATGAAGCTGACCATATGCTAGACCAGGTAAGGCTTTAATGATGTTGTGATTGTCTCAATCTCATACGTCCTTGCAGAATGGGTTTCGTGACTTTTCCATGAAGCTATTGCGACGCATCAACAAGCAAGCACCGAGTTGCCAGGTGAGACTTAATCTTTCTTAGTTGCCTACTAAGACTGTTTCCCGCAGCTCTTACTTTTCTCTGCAACTTTCAGCGAAAAGGTGAAGAATTTCGTGTCCAAAAGCATCCCGATAGCAAACCGAGTATTCGTCGAAAAGCTCGAGCTCTCGCTGGACGTCATCAAGCAGTACCGTGTAAATTGTCCTACTGAAAGGGCCAAGTTTGAGGTTCTCAAGGATAGAATCTACCCCATTGCCGAGAAGCTCGGGCAGTCGATCATCTTCGCCGAGTCACGAAGAAGTGTGACCGAACTGCACGAGAAGCTGGAAGCAGACGGTCATAAGTGCAGTTCTATCCACGGAGGATATAAACCCGACGTCCGTGACAAGATTATCGACGAGTTCCGACAGGGAATAACCAGGATTTTGATCTCAACTGATGTTCTTTCGAGGGGGTTTGACGTCGCACAGGTGTGGTTTTTCATTTTCTTTTGAGGTATTTTTCTTCGTGTCCGTGTCTGACTTACGGATGCTTTTCAGGTCACTTTGGTCGTAAACTTCGACCTTCCACTCGCGCGGGATTATCACAAGCAGCCGGACTATGAAACTTATCTACACCGCATCGGCCGAAGTGGAAGATTTGGAAGAAAAGGTAGAATGATAGTGCATTCAAGCAGAGCATGGTTTCACGTGTGAGAGCTTTGCTTGCAGGAGCCGCATTCAATCTGGTTGTCACACAGGAGGACACGAGGATGCTAACTCTGATCGAGGAGCACTTTGGGAAAACCATTCCACCAGTATTTCTCTGACTCTTTGCTTCGTTTCCTCGATGGTTCTAAAGCCTTCTCTGTTACAGGTGGCCTGGGATGACGACGAAGCTTTCGAAAAGGTTTTGAAGGAGGCCGGACTAGCTTAAACGTCGAAAGGAGTTTTTCCGGGTTTGTTTCGATTTCTATAGCTGACAAACTATCGAGGTCGAGAGATTTGTAATGTGATCGAAGAGCTAAACTTTGTTACTTTCGGGAACACAGGAGTAGCACAGTGATCGCCAAAGAATCGCTCAAACGAGCCTTACAAATTCAATGGATCGATCGCTCTTGGCAACGTCGACGCGATCCATGCAGCGACAATTAAATAGCGGGTTGTGGCACTTGGTGGCCATTCCATTCGGCGATCCATCGCCCATTTTCTTCACGGGAGACGACGACGACGACGAAGAGCCCGTAGAATACTCGTATCTCCTGGCGAGCGCCATGAATACGAGAGCGTTGACCCCCGAGAGCACAGCCAGCATCCAATAGTATCTGTCCAGGTGGCCGACGTTGATGTTGTTGGACAGCCACGGCGACACTGACGTGGACCTCTTGACCACGGTGACCAGCAGTGATGCCACGTAGCTACCAGCGGCGCCGCCGGTGGAGAAGAATGACGTGCCCACACTCCGTACGCTATCGGGCGCCTGGTCGTAGAAAAACTCGAGCATGCCAATGGCCGCGAAGACCTCGGCCAGGCCCACTAGCGAGTATTGGACAATGAGCCACAGGGCACTGTACGGCAGGGTTTCCAGGGGATTGAGCGCGCGACCGGTGGCGTAGGCTATGGCGCGGCGCTTGCGCTCGATCAAGGCGGCGGCGACGACGGCGAGCATGGAGAGGAAGAGGCCGATGCCAATGCGCTGGAGGAATGTGATGCCGCGGGAGTGGCCGGTGATCCGGCGGAGCGCTGGGATGAGCGCGCGATCGTAGAGCGGGAGGACGAGGATGATGAAGATCGCGGCGAAGACTGGGACGCTGGCGGCGGGGATGGTGAAGGATCGCGCGAGGCGGCGATCCATGGTGAGGCCCTGCTGGACGGAGAAATTCACGAGTTGGATGAAGACGGTGTTGAGGAGGATGCTGGTGGCCCAGATTGGGACGAGGCGCGCGAGGGATTTGAGCTCCTCGACCTGGGTCACGGTGCACAGGCGCCAGGGCGTGATCGCGCTGGGCGAGCTCCGCGCGAGGATCTTCTCCGCCTCGGTCTCCACCGCCGCCTTGTCCAAGAACCTGGGAAGAACAGGGATCGATGTGAGCGAGGATATTTCGGTCGATCTACCTCAGGTGATGCGTGCGCTGGAGCTTCCGGCTCCCTGGAATCGCCGACTCGCGATCGTAGACCTCGAAGAGCAGTGATTCATCGTCTGGGACTGGCAGATTTCTCTTCCTCACGGCCGCGACGATCACTTGCGCGAGGCGTGTCAAGGGGCTGCCGCTAGGGATCCGATGCCTGTAGCTCCTCGTCCCGGCCAGGAAGATGATCGTGGCCAGCAGCATCGCGGCGGCGAGAACGCCCAGGCCCCAGCCCCATCCCACGAAATCCTGGATGTACACCACGGCCGTGAGCGACACCGCGATCCCGATGGCGATCATGAGGTAGAAGATGTTGAAGAACACGGCCAGGCTCTTGGACTCCCGGGGATCGTCTGGATCGAACTGGTCAGCGCCAAACGCCGAGACGCACGGCCTGATGCCCCCGGATCCCAGCGCCACGGTGTAGAGCGAGAGGTAGAGGAATGCGAGCTGCGATCGCGACGCTCTCTGGCACGTCCCGAGGAAGAGATTGAGCTCCGCGCAGCCGGTGGAGGGCGGGCGGAGCGATGGAGCGATGGCCGCGATCGTGAGCATGATCAAACCCTAGTAAAGAAGAAATCCATGAGAAAGAACGAAGAGATCTAAGAGAAAGAACGAAGGAATCCATGAGAAAGAACGATATTTCGGACCAGAGGAGATCGAGAGCTAGATCAATCGCTTACGATGAGGTAGATGATCGAGAAGATCGTGATTGTCCAGTAGCGGCCGAGGTAGGAATCTGCCAAGAACGCGCCGATGAGCGGCGTGAGGCAAGAAGTTCCCAGGACGTTCGTGATGATCGTCGCGGAGTCGGGGAAAGTGAAGTGGATCTTGTAGACCAGGAACGTGATGAAGTTCGTGGCGATCCCAAAGAAGGCCATTCTTTCCGCGACCTCGTTCCCTGCCAAGAACATCGATTATCAGCAACGATTGGAAGGAATGCCATGGCGAGATCTACCAAAGATGAAAGCCGCCGCCTTCCATCCGCCCCTCTCGTGCTTGTTAGCGAGCGGCCGGTTGTGGAGATCCACGGCCTGGACGCCAATCCTCCACTTCTCGTCGAGATTGGAGCGGCGCTGCTTGGATCGATCTCGATCCTCTTGTTCTTGCTCGCGGCGAGCGGCAATCGCGACCGCCGACGCCATGGATCGAATGGAGGAAGGGGGGAAAGCCCGGCGTGACAAGCCCTTGATCGAGCTCGCGCATGGGAATGGGGCTTTTCCACACGAACGAGCTACGCGAGATTTGGCATCGCGCACGAAAAATACCGGCCTTGCTCACGCGATCGTTTCAAGCATGCGATTCTCGCGAGAGCCAGCCCTCGGTCAATCGATCGATGGAAGGATTCTCCATTTCTTTCTTCCGTATTCTTGTTGATCAACCAAACTCTCCTTGCATCATGCTGACTCTCTTGCCAACAAGAAAGAGAGGGAAATTTAAACCTCCAACCAAGAACCCTAAAATCGGGGTGGCCACGTGTTCGTTTTTTGCGCTATGGCAGCTCTCCCTTGGCGTATCAGGGCATTTCCAGCATTTCCAGCGATTGGAGCGCGAGGAGCGATCTCTCTAGCGCCATCGCGGGCCTCGACTCTCCGCAACCGCAAGGTAGGCATAGATCGATCGATCAAGCAATCGCAATGTAGCTCTTTGATCGTTTCGTGTGCTGCTAGTTCTTGGCTATGGCGGCAGCTCAGGGCGACAGGTGATCGATTGATTGATTGATCGCCGCCGCGTGATTTGTGGATTGTATCGCAGGCCAAATCCCTGGCGCTTCATCAGGTGGAGAAGAGCGAATGACGAACAAGTGATGTCTAAGCAAGGTGTTGTCTTTGCTTGTTTTTTTTCTCTTTTCTCTTGAGATTGAGTGAAAGTGTTTTCCAGGAGACAAGAAGAAAGGGGACTTTGGATACAAAGTGATCCCTGGAGAAACGCTGCATGACATTGCTGCCAAGTTTAAAACTCGAGTTGAGATCCTCATGGAAGTAAGAAACTTCTTTGTTTTTTCTCTTGTAAGTTCTAACACGAATTCCAGGCAAATGACATTCTTAATCCCCAAAACATTGCAGCTGGTGAGCACCTCTGGATTCCTAAGACATACGAAATTGTCACGGTACGCAGGGAAGAAAATGCTTTGTTTGCATTGATCTTGATGGTTTCTTCTGTTTGTATGGACAAGGGCGATACTCTTTATTCGCTGTCGCGGAAGTTTGGAACCAAGGTTTCAGCAATTCAAGCTGCAAATGGCATCGATGATCCAGAGTTGATCTACATAGGTAACAACAAAATTCATTACAGGATCGGTGTTTAACACCCGTGCTTTGTGTTGTGTCATAACAGGTGACGTGATTATAGTTCCAGATGAAGAAGAAAATGAGAACGAGTGAAGGTTACTCAATCTCAATTCGCAAGAAAACGAAAGATCCATCGCCAGAAATCTAAGGCAGGGAAGAAAATCACACGCATGGACACTATAGCATATGCTATCATTGCAATTGATAGATAAAATAAATGACATGGTCTCCACACCAATTGTGCTATCACAGTCATCATATACTTGGAAATATTGGTATTTTTTCCCTATTAGGAAGCTCTCGTGACCTAGAGCTCGCACAGCACGGCAATGGCTTCTCATCCTGTCCAGCCCATGGCTCCGCGGCACCAGGCCGGCGCTCGCAAGGCCGGCGATTTCGGGCGATCCAAGTCGTGCCCTCCCCACAGCGACGATCGCAAGATGAGCGTCAAGCAGGAGCAGATCTATCGCCAGATGGTGGACGAGCGCGTCGCCGAAAAGCTGGGGAAGCTCCACGATTCCGTCTTCGCGGCTCGCCAGGCTAGGGTATGGTTCTTTCGATCGATATTTCTTCCCCCTTGCAGGATTTCTTCGCATTTTCTTGGTGGATTGATCTTGTGTAGAGGCTCAAGAGGCAGCAGAGCTCCACCGCCTTGCTCGTGCAGTCGATCCAGGAGGCCATCAAGGAATCGTCGTGAGCGCGCTCGCTAGCGCCAAGATCGCGACTTATATGTACCTAAATCTCGAGTTTCAAGGAAGGAAATCGTCGATTTTCACGCTCACGCTGCACTCTGGCTTTTTTTTTTTCTTGTGAATTCGCGATTGGTTTCTCGTGCTCTCTTCTGCAGATAGAAACAAGAGAATTCGATCGAGTTGGAGGAGAGGTAAAATTTTATTCCTGGATGGAACTAATGCGCTATGACTTTGAAATGAGTGCTAGCTTCTCAAAGGTGGCGAGTGAGATGGAATCCAAGCAAACCGACACTTGAATTCCATCCGAGATAAGTGGGAAGAAGATCACTGAAGAGTTTCGTGGATCTAGCGGGTACTCCACTCTTCGCGGCTTCCCCCACCCGAAATCCAGCTCCAGGGACTCGCGCATCAGCCTCGGCCAAGCGTTGATCATCGTCTCGCAGTCGTGGTGGTACCAAGCATCCGGATGCAGCTCCAGGTAGCCCCATCCAGATCGAACGTACTCGTTGCTAACTCGCCTCTTTGCCTCCTGGACACGAGCAGTGATAGACGAGAGTGGAAGCTCACGGAGATTAGCGAGTGTGAGCTCCGCGAAAGCTCCATACGCGGCGTTACCGCAGAAGTTCTGTCCCAGCGGCGGCTCCAGCACGCTTCTCGTGTCCACCATGAATCTCAGGCGGAGGACATCGCTGCTCGACTTGCCCGGGAGCGATAGAGCGTGAGCTCGCCAGATGAAAGCCGCCAAGGCCTCGAAAGTGGAGCAGCCAGGGAGAGTCCCGTCGTCGAGAACAGCCTGCTTGAGCTCGAGGAGCCTCGCACTCGTGAAGGCGAAGGTCTGTCTCGACTTTTTGGGAGCCTTTCTCCTCCTCGACTCGGAGCTCAGCACCGATTCTTGGGTCAGAGTGAAGCGACTACTGCCGTGATCGGTCTGCTTGGCGAACTCTCGGTGCTGGAAGGCTACTCGGGGTGGATCTCGGGCTCTTAGTCGCGTCCGGTCGCCATTTGGAGCCATGTAGAGACCGTCACCTCGGTTGACGGAAGCAAAGTTGAGGAGGAACGTCATACCGGCGATAGCGTCGGCCAAGGTGTGATGGATCAACATACCAATCGCGTAGCCATCGTCGCCAAGTAAGTGAGTTACCTGAGAATTGCAATGGTTTTCTCAAGCTTGTTCTTTCTTCTGTGTAGCCGGTGACACTCACCTGGATCGTCAACAGTGGCAGATCTTCCAGGGCCGTGATCTTGTCCTCGTCGAGAAAGAAGAAATCGTCAAAGTGGTCGGCAGTGGCGCTGAGACTGGAGCTGGCCAGCGCAAAGAGAGCTCCCGCATTGCTACAGACGATCTCCATCCGGCCGGAGTGATTGAACCGCAGCCTCCCGGCCCAGAAGTGATACGAATCCAGCAGCTCTGCCAGCGACGACTTGAGACGATCGGTGTCGAGCTTGCCGCTCTCCGGCGCGTAGAAGAAGAGGTTTCTCACGTAGAAGCCCAGCCTCTGGTCCATGTTGCACAGAAACATGGCAGCGTGATCGGCTGGATGATCCTTGGGGACAATGCGTGAGACATCGTTAACGCAAACAGCGCTCGCCATGGATCAAACTCTCTCGATCAAAGAGGAGTTGTGTATATTTCTAGGTGGAGAAGAGCTTCTTCCTGTCACGGGGATTTCGTGCCAGAGCGACCTCTTCCATGTGATCCTGGGTGGTTATTTTGCCATGCTCTCCCAGAGCTTGTGATTAAAGTAGCGTGGACTTGGAGATAAAATAGTGACATTCACTGTCAAAGCTTGACGCGATTCTATCATATCAAACTTTTAGAAGAGATGAGAAAAGAAAAATTCCACCTCTTCTCCATCTTTGTAATTGATGTTGGTATGAATGGAACTCCACGCCAGGCAATCGAAAGCTAGAAGAGTTGGATGGCCAAAGTTACGATTTGGACTTGCAAGTGTTGGATTCTTCTTCTCCTTTTTTTTCTTTCTTGGCTATACTCTGATTCGCGAGCTGGTGCTGAACCGGGACGACATCCGGGAGGACATCCGCGACGAGTTTGAAGACATGCGCGAGGGGCTGGACGCGGTCGAGAGCCTGCTGGAGAAGGGACTCATGGCCGCAGTGGTCATGGGGAATCGCCCCTCCACGCTGCCTTCGATCATGTCCCGGCACTTTGTGGCAACTTCTTTCAATCCTGTTTTCGTCGGACCATGCCTCTCGTCAGTCTCGATTCGATCCGAAACAAGAGCGAACGAGAAGAAGAAGAGAAAAAGGAAGGATTTCTTACCTCCAGACAGCATGAAGATGTTCTCCACACCCTTCTCGACGAACAGATTTCCAGTGCTCTAAGAAACAAAGAGGAAGGCCTAGCTGGTTACGCGATCGCAAGCTGCAAGGAATTCATACCGCTCCCGTGTGCTCGTCCTCATCGTAGAAGATTATAATCTTGTCTGGCTCTTTGTTCATCTGTGGAGCGCGGAAGAGCAAAGAAAAAGAAGTTTGAGTGGCTTCCTAGAAGAAAAGAAAGTTGCTGTAACTCACAAAACTTAGAATCTCGACGGTGAACACGTTGACGGATCTCCTGAGCAGTGGCGCGGGATACGAAATCGCTGTTCGCGAAAACAATGGTCTTTTACAAAGTCTGTAGTTTCAACTCAAAGCTAAGTTACCTCCTTTCATGTGGCACGCCTGGAACTCATCTTTATCCCTGATGTCCAGGATCAAGCATCCGATTTGTTTCTGCACTGGGTGGTAACTGACGATCCAAAAACAAGAGAGAAAAAAAAGTGGAGAGAGAAGTTTAGTTACCTCGTCAAGCAGGCGAAGAAGTGTGCTCAGCTTCATCCTCCTGAAATTCTCCTCCTTTTTAAACCGGGCATCTTCAAGTTTCCACTGGGTTAAAGTTGACAATAACTATGAAGAGAGAAAAACAAGAACTAGGATACTGATCTTTGCCTCAGGGTACTTCTCATTGAGCTTGCGCATGTTGATGCCACTGCAAAACTCACAAGATCACGACTATCTTACTCAGCAGAGCTAGGGAGGAGTAAAAAAATGGAAAGAACTACCTGTCAATCGAGGCTTTGATGTTCCCATACTTTGTAGCTCGCACAGATCCCTGAGAGGCAAAAGAGAAAAAGTTTCCAGCGAAAAATCCAAAGGATGAGCTTACCGATGTGGAGCTCGCCGAGCTCCTGCTTCCATGGTGGCTAAAAGCAGGCCTCATGCCTTTGAGCCACTGCTGTTATTCATGCGCATCCATAATCCAGGCTTGCCACCACCACATTTTCTTACAAAATTTCTCTTCCTTCCTTCCGTGGTGCTCGAGCTAGAAGAACCCTGCCCGATCAACTATGGCGAAAGCTAGCAAATCTGGGCGTGTCGCATTTTTCTTCGCGATTGCAAGCTCGCAGCCCCAGTGAGATCTCCTAGGGCTTCAGCCGGCCGGTGGAATCTCACCACGAAATTAACTGACCGATCCCGGAACCCTGATTAGGGCACGACGTGGCAGCCTCTCGTGAAGCCACGTCAGTTTTGGCTTTCCGACGTGGCAGTTTATCCCATGCTAATCCAGTGTAAAGTTACGCATTCACTCATACTCAACCAGAGCCTTTCTTGCTCATTTGTCATAAAGATTCCAAGCCCAGCAGCTGGCCGAACCGCTTTTGAGCTGACGAGCTAAGTCAATTAAGAGTCAACTTGTTCAATATAAGTCAACGTGGTCAATAAAAGTTCATAACAGTATTAACTACGTGTTTATAGCATTCGATGTTATTGCTCATGAGCTCAAAAAATCTAACCAAACAGCCTTTGTAGTTTTATGTGTAGAGGGACTGGAGAGTTCACCCAAGCAAGCAACCATCTCACTTCAAGTAACCATTTTTGACCATTTTTCAAAGCACAAGGTCCGCAAGGAAAGCGAATCTAAGGGATGTTTGTGTTTTCCCAAGATACAAAATGACATGAAGATGCGCAGAAAAGGCATTTTGATGACCACCATATGTGCTGTGCAAACTATAAACAAAGAGAAAAGAAAAATCAATCATCAAAGGAATCTCTTGGACTTGATGATCCTGTTGCTCTCAAGCTGCACATTTTTGTCCAACTTTGAATGTTTATCCTGGACTTTTACCAGTAAAATGGTGAACTTGCAGAGCCAACTTGTTCAAGATCCTTGAGCTCGGCAGCTGAATTCTTCCACCCGGATCTCGCACAGCCTCCAGCCTGGCAACATAACTCCAACCCTTGCCTTCTTCCTCACCTTCTTGGAAGGATTAGACTTCATCATCTCCCCTTCATACTCGAGCCCAGAACGCAGGTGTTCAATCCTAGCCTCCACCACCTTCCTCAAAACGTTCCTCATGGCAGCAATGGAATCCATAGCCACCACAACAATGCTCTGAGTAGCTTCCAAGTTAAGTGTGTCCGACGAGCAATCCAGTCACCTTTGCCAATGAGCTCTTCGTCCCCAAACCACAACACGTCTGGGGTGACTCCGTACCTGCGACATTCATCCGTGACCAGGTCCAAACCAACCCAATGCAGATGAGATCGATTCTTATGGTTGATCTTTCTTTGGCATCCCCCAGCAGCCACACTGATCGAAGTTTCGGGCATTCTCCACAAACTCCCTGGCCACAGGAATGACTTTGGAGTCGCAGATTAGAAGAGATTTCATCCTGCCTTGCTGCTTGAGTTTCATTTTCTAATATTTCATAAAGTTTTTTAGGAATGTTTAGAAGCTTGAGGCCTTTTCTCCACCACATACATGTCACTCAATAACTGCGCTCACTTTTAAAAACATTATCATATTTTTTAATGCATATGAGCCAGTTAGCAACTCAATTTATATTCATATAAAATAGTGATGGGTCACAATTTAGTCACCGGGATATTTTTGATAATTTCACAACGAAACTCGAGGTTGTTTCATTTGGATAAAGTCCTACACTTGTTTATTGACCCCGTCAATGAAGCACAAACACGAGATATCGTGCCCGAGAAGCAGTCAAAACCGTGTACATAGCAGCCTCAAATCCTCCATATAAATTGGCACGACTCTGGCACAGCAAAGCAAAGAAGGGATACAAGAAAAGCAATTAGTTACATTTGTAGATTGACGATACAATGGCGAGCAAGTCCCAGCTGATGCTTCTGGCCATGTTTGTGACAATCCTCCTGGTTGGAGTGGACGTTGGTGGAATCAAAAGCGCAGCAGCCCAGCGGCAATGCAAATCTGGATGGAACTGGGACGGCCATAAGTGCATCCAGTGTCCCAAAGGCTGGTACTGGTATAGCAGCGATTGCCACCGATGCCTCTCCGGATGGAAGTGGAGTGGAAGCAAATGCGTGAGTTGCCCGAGCAATTGGTACTGGTACAACAACAAGTGCCACCAATGCCAATTTGGCTGGAAATGGAGCAAGGGCCACTGCATCAAGAACTAACCAAATTGGAGGCACAAAATGAATTGTCCTATGATTTTAAATCTGATTTAAATAAAATTGCAAACTTATTGGGAGAAAAATGGGGGTGAGAGAGGTTCGAACTCTCGACCTCAGGTGACAGCTTAAATCATAAAAACTTTGTTTTGAAAATGCTATGGAAGGTTAAAAAAAGAGGAAGTGGCGTAGATTGTGTGCTCGGGAAGGATTCCACGCACGTATTGCTTCCAGCCAAGATGCCCTCTATGATCGCAACAGAAGGCATTACTACAAGAGAGATTCATCTTTGGACAAGGCCGGCCATTGTTTGAGGTAATTCAAGTCAATTGATTTCCATCCTTCTGTCACCTCATTGTTTCGCAGTTTCACATAACATTTGACTTTTTAACGTTGAGAAAGTCAACGAGTCATCCGGAACTGAACGTGTTTATCCTTATAAGACGCGGTCAATCCCGCACTCAAGCACATCAAAGTTAGTTTCTCTACGCAAGTCTAAGAAAGTTCTAAAGATGGTGAGCAACAAGATGCTGCTGGCAATGTTTATGGTGCTCCTGGTGGGAGTTGACATTGGAGGAATTGCAAGTGCAAGCGCCCAGAGGCGATGCAAGCCGGGATGGCACTGGGATGTGAAGAAGTGCGTCTCTTGCCCGCTCCGCTGGTACTGGTACAACAATTCTTGCCAGCGATATTAATGCCCGCACAATTGGTACTGGTATTCGGGTTCTTGCCACCGCTGCCCTACCAACTGGTACTGGTATGTGAAGTTGCCCATCAAGATCCAAGTTCATATAGGATGTCAATGACAATGATCATTGTAACCTTTTGGTGAATAAAATGTGTGTGCTTTTCTTTCCATGACATCCCATTTTAAAGCTCATGCAGAGTCTGCTTGACAAGACACTTGCTACTGAAGCATACAAATTCTATAGAAGGGTTGGAGGCATGTAGTATAAATACTTGGTTGTAGAGAAAGCTACTTTTGATTGAGTTTATGCACATCTTATTTGCATTACAAATCAAGTGTTTTCTTTGCTCTCTCTTTCTCTCTCTGCACTCATTTGGTGCCATCCCTCTTGGGAATTTCTTTTTCTTTTTGCCGTTTTCTATGTTCTTTTGGCAAGTAACAAGAGGTAGAAAAAGTGTGCACCAGCTGCCAGTTTCACTTTTAGTTTCTAGCAACTAGAGCAGCAAGATTACCGAATTGTGCTGCTGAGTTCCATACTCTGAGATTTCATTCAGGAGACAATAGATGAGAGAGAAATGTAGATTAGAGTCTGGGCACAAGTACGAGTGGACTTTAAATACCTTGTATACTTCCAACAAGAAATTGGGTGTCTTTTGTTTCTAACGGTTCGTAAATTTCTTGCCTATTTACCTTTAAAAATATTATCATATTTAATTCATAACTCGTAACTTTTGATGATTTCATGGGACTTAAATAGGAATCTTGAGA